GTAACAGACTCCCGGAGACTTGCATCCCATTGTGACACTAAGTTGACTGTGAATCATTTTTTTTTACCCTCCTGAAATTGATAGGGATTTTAATAACACGAAGTAAGTGCTGCCTGAGTTGGAAGGCAACTTAAAAGCCTTAAAACGCATGAAAAAATCTTCTTCCAAAATATGTACATTGTAAACGGCCTTATCCTCAGCTGGTACACCTTGTTTCAATTTTAACAGGGTTATATATCTTGAGGGCTGTAAATACTGTGCAGTGTTATGGAACTACATTGCCAGAATGACTTTTGTTCGAATGTCATCCAAAAAGTAATAAATCTTAAATTTAAGGTTTCAAAACTGATTACCTGAATGGCATTTCCAAGAAGTATTTTTAGCCATTCGTTTTCTATTGTTTGGCTGCGAAAGATACAACTGCAGTTGTTCCAAAAATGGAAAGAAAAAGAAAGAGCTAAAATGACCTTATGGTAACATTATCCTAGGAAAACGAATTTAGTTTTATTTAATTACACATGATTAAAAAATAACAAAAACTGGTACTTTACATAATTGTACTTTCAGGTGTTAAAAGTAATAATACTGCTTTTTCCATAAAGGGATCAAATTCATTTTATCTTCTAAAAACAAGAATTGTTTTTACATGACCAAGCTTTCTAAACCTCTTTATTAGAACATTGCTCGGGTGTTTGCTTACATTTTGCAGCTAGGCCTGCTCTTCATTAGCTCATTGTAAATTGTAATTGTTTTGTATAGTTCACACACAGTATATAACACTTTCACAAGGCGAGTTATTAAATAATAAGAGTACAGAACAAGAATGATAAAAGGAGTGACTAAGTGAATACCTCTATGATTCTCTGGATTATGAAGTGAGGACTAAGCTTTTGAAATATTTTACAACATAAGCAGCATGTACAAAGACACCTATAGATATAAGTGTCCCTTATAATGATTACAGCACTAATTTCTCTGTACTTTTACTTAGTATGGTTCTTAGCTATTTCAAGAAAATATACTTTATTTGATGTTAATAAAACAGGTTAAATTAAACTTTTAAACTGATTTAAATTGAATTAAATTAAAAGGCTAACTTCAACCAAGTATGATCTTGAGGTATACTGACAGAGAGATTGGAAAATACAAATGTAAAAGAATTTAATATTGCTTATACAATATTGTATGTACTGAATAGTAAGGAACAAACACTGTAGCTTTCAAGGAAAACCTTACTTTTAAGCAAAGAAAACAAAAAAAGTAATAATTGTTATCATTATCGCACTCAACCGAGCAAGTTTCTCAGCATCAGCAAACAGAATAATTTACCAAGCAAAAGATATTGGATCAACAATATTTACCATCTTCAAATGTAGTGGCTAAATTTTGTAATAGTGAAAAGATAAACATTAAGTGAATTAAAAATAAATGTTATTAGAAATGTCAAGATGTAAAATAAATAACATGCTTATCATATCTCTCTGTGTGCGTAATATATACACAATACAAAGAGTTAAAGCAGAAGCTGTGTCAGCACATGAGCTACAAAACAGAGATTAATTCCACTCTAAAAATCAAAAAGAAATACGAAAGACACAACAATGTGGCCCGAGCAAGGCTCCACAGTCAAAGTGTTATGTTTTTCTTGTTTTTTCTAGCGTACACACACTACAATGGTGTGTTAGTCTGAAAGTAAGGGAGTCAACACTGTAGGGAGCTGGCATTACATAACTGAGAGAATCATCGAAAAGGAAGTAAGAGAATAGAATGAAGGAGGAAGAAAGACAAGAAAGGAAGAAAGATGGAAATGTTATCCACATGTGGCAGGCTGGGCCCCAAGGGCAGTAGGGAGATTCAGACAAAATTGTAACAGACAAAAGGTATTGGGATAACTGCAGCGCTCCTGTAGTTACTGCATCAGAACTGGGCTAAATTACTTTACTACTTGGTGCCAGTGGCAGCAAACAACCACTTTGTATATTAGAATATATTCCAGCAAACCCAATCTGATGGCTGCTGTGCCTGAGACGTTTCTAATATAGGGGTCTAAATTCCATCTGATTTAAGTTAACTAATTTGGTCATACAGTCTTCCAGCTAGCATAATATTACCACACCATAATTAGTACAGTATCAGGGCACATCAGTGAGATGGGACGATAGCTTGCACAAGGTGCAAGATCTTTTATTCAAAAAGTGGGATATATAAAGGCAGAATTAATACTCTTCTTTCTCAATGGTCGAATATATGTCAAAATGTCAATGTCAAGCAAAATGAAACCTAATAAAAGCTAAAATGTCAGGTAAATTCAAAAGGGATGCTTCAATGTCAGGAAATTTACACTTTCTCGTGTTTCTGTCTTTAGCTTAGGAAAATAGATGTCTACAGCACAGCGTGTCTACAGCAGAGATAAGGTACAGTAAACGAAGAAATTGAAGAAACCTTATACATGTTCCAAAATCAAATTCAATGTCTAAATGGCATCATTCAGAATAAACCAGGAGATGTGGAGTTTATCTGCATTGAATTTGACAATCTAACATCATTACTATGAACTACAGTATACTACAGTATTTGGACTGCAAAGCTAATAAATGGCTGACTTGCCTGCCATTTAAGCAGTAATTCTGTCTATATACAATACATACAATGGTGTTATTTAACAGAAGTTTGGGAGGAGACCAAATTCCAATATTGCACTTCCACTCTCCTACATATAAATACTCATTGGCCAACAACAATTCTGAGCAGATCTTTTCTAGTACTTGAAAATTCAGTCTCCGCAGAGACAAATGGTTCTCATAATTCAGCATTACTAACACCTTATCTTTATCACATGCACCGCCTACAAGCTAGAATCAGAGCTGCTTTCTCTCTTTTCTTGACAGTATATTCTCCAGATGTTGTCTACCCTTCCTGGAAGTCCAATCAGCTGTGGCAGCTTCGTCTTTCTCTCTTCCACTAACCCTGCTCTCTCCATGCTCCCCCCCTCCCAGCAACATTGGTGCCATCTCTGATCTGTGTACCACAGACAAAAGACAAAGATATATAAGAGCCAAAGATCTAGTCAATTCTGCAGCAAAATTGAAAAGCTGACAAAAAGTTGAGTCTTTCACTGAGGGGCTAAACACATGCCATACAGTATATCTACCAAACCCAGACATGACATACAATTTCTGCTCTTGAAGCCTGGAATCAAGTATTACTTCAAGTACATGATCCATGACAGCATTCATATCTGCACCCAGAATAATTACTCACTGGGTTCCAGCAAGGCCTTGAATAGGATGTGAACTATTGCAAGGGTATTATTACAGTACATATGATCCTCTAGTTGAGTTCTAATTATTAAGAGTCTAAAATTACTTGGCTGTGTATTATCACCTCTTTTATGGATATGCACTACATTAGCAATTGAACTGCCAATGGGTACTAACCCTGTCTCGAGTCATCTTTGGTAGTGCTTTTCTAATAGACTATGAATAACATTTCTTACTGAAGTAGAACTGGTAGACTGCTATCAGACCCTGAAGATTTGTTTGTTTTTCATGCCACAACAGGGAAGTTAATTGTATTGTTGCTGTCATCTGTATTAAGATTGTTATTATTATTGTTGTTAATAATTATTCAGTAATTCCTTGCAACTGTGAAGTGCATTTCATCCCAAAGTGCTTTATGTCTGAGCAAGAACCCACTTCTTTCATCACTGATGTGTGGGGCCCACCTAAGAAGATGATGTGTACAGTAATAGTTATGCAAAGGAACAAGTAAGAGGTTTATTCCATGCTGAAAAGAGAAGAAAGAAAACACAACGTTTCGGCTGTGGAGCCTTCTTCAGTAATAGTTATGTTATGTGCAAACAGCCCCACTAAATAGCAAATGACTTAAGGAGGAAAAATGTAAACTAATTAGAAGGAACAGCTGCTTCACATTGCAATCTCCAATTCGCAACTCCATCTCAATACCAGGCTCAGGGTCAGGACCAAGCCCCTGCCTTGATTAGCTTCTAAAATCTGATAAAACCAGTCTAGAAGGTAGTAATGCAATTGTCACCTTTCACTATGGTTTCACACAATAATTTCAATACATACCATAAACTGCTCTCACAAAAGCCATGAGAATGTTAATATCTCATTATTTATCAAAACACAGAGCAAAAAATCGAGCAAATCTTACACAGAGCCTCCTGTTTCTGTGTAAGATTTGCTCTATGTTTATTTACCAAGTCAATACATCATTCATTGCATTTTTTAATGAGGTATTGATTTTTCCACAAACAAAGGTCACTCTGATAACATTTTATAAAAAGCCTCTCAGAGTCGTCTAAAAATAATTCACTTCAGATAACACTTGTGAGCAAAGAAAAATACTGATGAATGTAGTTCTAATAGAAATTTAACGACTCAGTAAATAATAAAATACAACCCATTCCAAGCACGGCATACAATATTTAAATCAATGATTTTCACTCACATACTAATTTTGAAAAACAGGCTATGCTATCTAAAATACATATTTTACCCGACTCATGGTCCTCACGGTCATTAAATGTTAAAATTAAATGTACTGTGGTATGATGTAGTTTTTTAAAGCTCATAAACGTTAACATATTTATTGCAACTAGAAAGTCGAGCAAGTTTATCTAACATGTCATACTGTTCTTCCCAATACAATTAGTTGACTTTTTCTGTTTCATGTACTGTACATCGTATCATATTGTAACGAATACGCTCCTGCCCATAAAAGGGATGTTGGCCGCCCAGGCTAATGCAGGTCTTCTTTAGCTCAGCCGGCAATACCCCTGCTGAGCGATGCTGGAGACCCAGGTTCGGTGAGGGACGAACTGGGGTGGGAGCGGCGAGGGCACAAGCCTGAGAACCTGAATTAAACTACGGCACTACACAAGAGGGGCCTGTTCAGCGTGGAGGCGGATTCCTGGAGGAATTTCCGGGTGACGCCTCGCCTTCGGAATCACCGCTTCACGCACTAATCAACGGTGAGCTGCAGTTGTGAGGGCTCTTGAAAGGCACACTGAGCACCACCTCCATCCCAGAAGAGCACGGCAGTCCCGGAGGGGATTGTACCCGAGCGTGAGGCCGGTCTTCTTCTTTTGATTGTTTTTAGCCTGTCCCGTCCTGTGTCTATACCGGGACTAGTTTTTCTTTTTCCACCATTTTTTTTTTTGCCCTTGTGCTCCCTTCCTGCTCACCCAGCCTAGACCCCGCTAAATAGGACAAGTCCAGTCTGGTCCTCGCCGCCAAGCGGGTCTTTTTCCAGGCTGTACCCCGTTAGATACGGTAAGTCCAGCCTGGGGCGCAGCGCCGCTTCATATAACGGCGCATTTTTGTATTTTTCCTTTTTGTTTTGTATTCTTTTCGGTTCGCGCTAATCTCACACCTGTGCCTCCGCGCCCCCTTCAGACGGGGCGTCGACTCTTAGCAGTGCTCCCCCCACTGCCGCGATGTTACAAAACCTTACACCATATCGATATTGTTCTTAATCGAAAGGTGTCCTAACTTTGTTTTTCAAATAATCGTTTCCAGTTATAACAATGTTCACTTATGTTAAGGATGGATAATTGATTACAATACACTCACCAGTCTTTAGGGAACTTTTAGGGAAAGTTTTAATCTTTCCATACAGTAAACCTTTTTTAGTGTGCCATTTCCAGGAGTAACTATACAGTACATACTGTACTGTACTCATGTCTCACAGTACAGGCAGTGTTCTTTAAGGCATCTGATATTTTTTTTTTATTTTGCCACATTTTAAACTTCCCATCACTTTGGTAAAGTTAATTTGGTCTCATCTGTCCAAAGTACTTCGTTCCAAAATTCTCCTGGTTTTTCTGTATACTTTCAAGCAAATTCTGAGGCATGGTGGAGGTAATGTCATGGCCAAAGAAGAATGTATTCTGAAAACTGCAGAAACCTTTTATCTGCTGACATAGAAGAAAATGCTACCGTACTTACTGGGCAGCACTTCACTATGCAGCATAATAATAACCCAAAACATATGGCCAGTGCAATCAAGGAGTACAATAGGAGAAAAATGGAAAATCTTAGACCATCCAAGTCAATTTCCAGATTTAAATCCAATAGAAAATGTATTTTACATGCTAAAAAAAAGTGTACATTCTGACATCTACACTTTGATATTAACTTAAAGTAAATGTGTCCCTATTGTTATGGTTACCCGAAATCACTGGGTTGAACACACTGTTTGTTCTAATACGATCTAACATATCCATGTAAATACACAAAATAAATGCAAAATATATTATACTTATCACTCACATTAATCTCGTGATCACAAAGGCTAATCGTCTATAAAGCAAACAAAATAGATACTTTATTGATCCCGTGAGGGAAATTGCAGTGCAACAGCAGCTTAACACAGACAACACAGCAACAGTGTAACGAATGATAGAATAATAATAATACAATACAATCAGTACAGTGAGAAGTGCACTAAGAACAGTTACTCACAGTCCATAACACACAAAGAACAAACAGAACAGTACACAAAAAAGCTGTATTTCACAATATATATAAATAAAAATGTATTGCACAAGTCCCTGGCATATATTGCACGAAAATGGTTGTAAACGGGGAAAAAGAAAAAGAACAGATGTTATCAGTTTACTGTTCAGTCCAGAAACAGGTCACTGTTAATATTGCCTCTGAGTTTACACTATACTATTATGAGTTTACACTATACTATTTCTGGAGGACACTGTACAGTATGTCAGAGATCCTACAAATGGACAGATGCAGAAAAGCAAAAGCTTCTAAATAAGAGATTTATGTTCTTGTTTATTTTTTTAACTACAACTTTCACCATGTGTGCTGATAAAAAGATTATCAAGCCATCTAAAAACATGTTTTATAAATATAAAAATGAAGTCTGATCTCTCTGAATTGTTCGTTCTTTGGCCGCAGGAAACAACCACATCAAATATACTGTGATCTAACCCCGAACATTTCCTGTGACCTTTCATCTGATTCACATGGTTCTAGAAGACAGGGCTTGCTGTTGCGAAACCATTCCAGTTCTTGTAATTCCTTAGCACATTTGTGTAGAGGGGACTCCAGGGCTAGAGGCTTCATACTGTAGATAGTCTAATTAGAGTTTTTGTGCAATGACGTCTACAGTGAGTTAGTTACTTTTACAAGATACATCAACTTGTAAGTTTACAAGTAAGATACATCCACTCAAAATACAAAAATATTGAACTGATTTTGTAGTCTGCACACAAAATCCACAATTCTACTGAAACACAAGTTTGTTTTTTTTAATAGCCAGATGAATCCTAAAGTATTTATAGAAAACTAAGTCAAAATATTTCAAAAGGACACTTAAGTTTTCTGAAGGACAAAATGAACACAGCTAAGCACTTGTCATTTACCACAATTCATTGTAAGCTGTACTTTACAAGTGTTCAAATGTTGTTGTATTATTCCCTCATTTGCAATGCCTGCTGGCACTTCATTAATTCCTGTCACAACTACTTTAAACAATATTAACTGGCCAAATAGCTCACACAGTGAGTTGTACATACAGCACAAACAGAAGCAGAGATATATATTTCTTCTGCCAGAAGCTGCTATTACAGGCCTTATGGTTTCTATTGATATTAGCTGCTAGATGGGCACAATATCTTGGGTTAAACAGCCACTTTAGTGTGCACCATCATTAAAGCTGATGCCTTTGCATTCAACAACATAAGCACCCAGAAATCCCCCTACTTGTAACTCTTTCTCCAAACAGAAATATATATTTAATAGATTTTTATATTAACACTCCCTTTTGTGAGTTCAGTAATAATATTAAACACGCAATAACATTATGCAAGTGTAAATGTAAAGTGTAAGGATTTCTGTAACTGAACGTCATAGTGATATCCAGAAAGACAATCAGAGACTAGCGAGATACCTCAAACAAGAACACGAGGAGACTATTTTAAAAAACCCAAAACAAATTTTTAAAATGCACAATAGTAAACAACAACGCGATCATCACGGCAAATCTGTCCGTAAGCCTGAAAGCACTTCTATTTAAAAAAAAAAATTCTGACCCCTTAATTTTTCGGCTGCTTTCCAGTTATCAACATTTGGAGGACTGCCAGGTATGAAATGGATGCTTAGGAGTTTGGCATAATCCAAGAAATTAACTGGCACGATAAAAGCCCTCAGTCAAATGGGGCAGAGTTCCAATAGTAGAGGCCAACTGCACTCACCCTTATGAGCCAATGTTAAACACAAACTAGTGGTATTTGTATTATTAGCACCCAACACCTCTCATAAAAACAGGGCCCAGGGGGCTCAGTTCTCCCTGTAGACACACTTATTATGGAGTGGGTAGTTTTCCCAAGGGATAAATGAGTACCAGAGTCAGCATCTCCCCCTTAGAGATTACATTGCATTACAAAAACAATCCTGCAGCTCTGAAAGTTCATTTCAAGCTTTGTTCAGTCATCCAGCTCATACAGACACATAAGTAAGAAAAGCATAAAAACAGATAAATTAATTGCATTTCCACTACAATACATTTTTAACATAGCCCCTACTTACTGTATAGTAAACTACAAGAAAATATTCTCCTTTTAAACATATGTACATTCGGTTAGTAGTTTCATTTGATACATGATCCAGTGAAATTCCCTTGTGGGTAGATAGCTTCCTTCTAGGGACACTGGCCAATGTACTGGAATGAAAACCTCCTGTTTTTCTGCAAAACATTATAGGAGAGGTTATGCTTCTTCTAAACCATAAATAAACTCACTTTATTTTGGTATACATCTAAGAAATACCAATTCACATATGGATTACAATTTACCAAAGCAGTTGCTTCGAAGCACAGTTGTATAATGTCATAAATATCTCTAAATATATCACAATTAAATTAAAAACAGACTAAAGAATTTACTTTCTGTGATGAAAAGTAATGAGTAGACTCATTTACATAAACTATTGAAATAAATGGTAGCACAAAGTAGCAGGACGTTGCTGGTTGTACCAGAAAATGTCCCTTTGTTGTAATAAGATGTCTGATTTGAACTGAAATATACCAGTGTATTAACTAATGGTACTTTCTTGTAAAAATCATTACATTACAATGTTCAGAGAAATTGCTACAAAACATGTGTTTGCTTCAGATTGTGGAAAAGTGCCCTTTGACATCAAGGGTACTGTATAAAAATACATAATACTTAAGTAAATACTTTACTTTTCTTTACTCTAAAATCATCAAAAGACGCATCTCAAATATCACCTGCAATCAGATAAAAATTGGAAGTACTCCTAAAATAATACAGATTATAATATAAACGTTTATTTCAATCATATGTCCAAAATAGGACAATGAAACAGTTTGAACTTAGAGACGACCAACACGTAGTTGTAAAATAACCTTCATCAGGGTACAGTCATAGAGACTATAATGGACTTTCAATATTGTTTTTGATCGCAGCTCTTAAGTCTGCTTTCCCAAATGTACAGGTACTGGTACATTGTACATATTTCATATCTCTTTGATGTTCTTAATACAGGATTCAAATCTCTGCCATCGGCTGACATATATGGGGTCTTAATATTATTTATTGTTTTTTTAAGAAATATCTCAAAATGAATGTCCTGTTTGCAGTATCAGCATATTTGATAGAAACTGAAATGTGCCTGAAGTCAGCAAAAGAGACGGATACCTGTAATACACAGATTCATCTTTGCAGGATTTAACATAAATCCCTTTTACAATGGAGAAAATCTTAGCTAGTCAGTCTTGGTTTCAATTTATGTTGAAAAACAAAACAGAGCTTTGGGTTCTGGATTCAACAGAAGTAATAAAAATCCTGGTATAATTATCGCTATTTTGTCTGTCTTTCCTTGACATTGAGAGACAGAAAGCCCAGTGACTTCAAGGGAAAACACTGTGCAGAGCTACAGTGACAGGCTAGGTCAGTCTATTGAATCACCTTATCCCTTGACAAATGTGTTCAATTTTTAATTCTTAATGTCTTAGCCTTGTTCACCTAAAACAAATCACTATCATCCCATATAATATAAGAGCACTGGAACATAGACTGACATATCAAAGCAAACATTAATATCTGTATAAACACAACTGACAGAAAAAAGCAACAGGTCTGTCTAACAAATGACTCAGGCTTATAAGGTAATGGGCTTCTTAAGTACTTCTGCAAAAGCTATTTTGGGAATAAAATTCTATATGGCAATTTACAACAGATCCCAAACAGCTGATTAAACATCATCCTTCATGTCTCCTTCATGAGACATTCACTATGGAGTTTAGTTTTCTAAAATGTTAATTATACTCTATTTTCAACTCTCAGCTGTGAAGTTTCCCCTAGACTGCTCTAAAACGACTTTGGCTCAGTAGCTATTTTTTCTATTGCCTGTGGAGTATCATGTTTGCAAGCCCACTGTGGCTTTCTCTTGTTCATGTGCCACATGCTAATCAGCAGCTGATAAAGAACATTTACTGTACATTTACCAAACTCACCCCTGCAACACCTCTCACTCATTATCTGCAGTTGTAGAACTCTCAAACGCCCTTTAGTGCCGCATGAAGCCACATAACAAATAAATTACCATAATTTTGAACCATGTGCCTGTTCAAATGGCCTGGAGACTCTGACCTTCCTCTCTGAAGTCGTTTCAGTGCATTAATTTGACAAATTTAGAGTAGAGGCTGTGATCTGCCCATGTCTTAACTGACCTGGTCACAAGAATTCTACGTAGGCAAAGTATAATTATGAAATTAAGTACGCATGCTCTTATTTTTTGTTTTTTCCCACACATTCAAAAGACTTTCCTAAAGTACATCATATTTTTTCTCTTTACAAAGAAAACCTACTGAATTACGGATAAACACGCTTATCCTTAGTGGAGGAATAGCAGAACACTTAGAAATAGTCAATAAAGTGCTGACTAACACTATTTAACTAGTTTTATTAGTAATAACAATTTAGCAGGATAGTATTAGTAATTTTGACTTTTTCAAGTTGTCAATGTTTTCTTAAAAGTTAAACTCTTCAAACAAGTCTCTGTTGTTTGAACAGAGCTTTCTAACTGCAACATAACAGCTGTATCACTCTTTTTAGGACATGCCTGCTTATTGCTTTCTGCTTTCTTGATTTGGATAGAACTGAAAATTAGGTTTGGCCCGCACACTGCACCTTACTGTGTGCAAGACTATGGCCTCATACTTAGAGTGCCTTGTGTTAAAGCCCCCTTTCAATGATACCCCATTTTGTTGAATTCCAAATGAAGTGTACACATTTTTAAAAAAGTGAATATATTTAACCAAAACTTAACATAAAAATAAAAAATATACATTCTGTGCACATGTCAATGTGCATATTGGGTAAGGGATGTGATGTACATTCTCCACCTTGGAAAAAATTAAGTTCTCCCTTCGGCTCAACTGCAAAATTTTATCCTGCCTTTTTAAACTTCTTTAAGAACTTGCAGCTCGACCCAGACATACAGTATGAAAGACCTTGAAGACTGTGGCTTCCCTATCCTGCCCTTTCACTAGCTTTTTTTTTCTTTCTTTTCTCTTTTTCCTTTGCTCATCTCTTCCAAATCTCTGGTTTCCTTTTTTCTACCCATTTATTCCTGTTTTTATATTATTGTTGGATTAACACAGTTTGTTTAAGTACCAAGTCTTTCATGCTTTGATGATTAAACACATGTGTTCATTATTGTATATGGTACCATGTAATGTTCTTTCTTTCCCCTGAAAAACCAATAAATAAATTGAACATAAATCTTTCAGACCTTCTTGTAATGGCACGTGCGAATAACAGGCTGCAACCCTACTCACCTGACATGAACCCTTGGATCAGCATGTGTTTCACATGGATCCAAGACCTTGTACAGCTGCTGGGCTGTGTGCAGCACTGCTTGCCGAGAGGAATAGGATTCCCAGGGATAAATAAACAGTGCTGTCAAGTTGCCGCAATGGAAGTACTGTAAGTATTACTAGCAGTTTATGAAGGACACACCAGACATTGAACTGGCTTGTTAAAAATATTGACCCATGTTAAGTTTAATAATGGGGCTGAACTGAAAGCCCTAGCATTATGTGTATTTAAGATGTAAATCAATGTTTTTGTTTTAGTTTGGCAAAACGTGACATTAAATTTGGATGTGGCATTTTTGTCTCTCAGTGTATAAGACTGTACGAAACTTGGAAGTAAAAGACACATACTACAGAGATTCAGGAGGGTAGCTGTGTCAGCATGCATAGGCTGCAAAGGAACAAGTAATAGGTTTATTCCATACTGAAAAGAGAAGAAAGAAAACCCAAGGTTTCGGCCATGGAGCCTTCTTCAGGTGTGGAAGGCTCCACGGCTGAAACGTTGTGTTTTCTTCTCTTTTCAGCATGGAATAAACCTATTACTTGTTCTTTTGCATACTTCAGAGATGATAATTGTTCACAGGTGGTTTCAGGTAGTTTTCCCAAATTGCTCCTTTGATGGTGATTAAATGGTCAGTCACAGAATAAATGTTTTATGTTGTCCAAGATCTATTAAGAAACAATACAAATACATTCAATGACAAAAGTTAAAAACGGCTTTTTAGACAGGTAGCAGTTTACTGTCCTCTCAATAGTGCTTTTCTGGCCAACGTTACGATATGCAGAAAGCTTGTATGCAAAAGTGCCCAGTGTTGTGACTTTACTGTCATTGCAGACAATAATAATCCAGAAATATGGAGCCTAAATAGTATTAAAACATGGACAGAAAGTGATTTTTTAAGAAAGTAAAGTTCTAAACGGCAAAATCATTCTTGAAGGGCACGTGGAATACATTTCCTTAAAATAACCAAAACCATTATCCCAGGTTGAATGGCTAATGTGGGCAGTTGGGTTTTAAACAATAGCCTCATTATTCTGAACCAAGTCCTGTTTACTGTCTCGACATTTGTCCTGAGGCGTTCATTCAGAATGTGAATGATGGTTCAAATCAAAGCCTTATGACAAAATACATTTAAAGCCAATAAACGTTATGTTTGGCCTCATCTCTTGTCAGTTAAGTATCTCCTCATCAACATCACCAGTTTTCAAAACTGCTCTGATGGACAGGTCTTAAATCAACAAGTACTTCAGCCTGGATATTTCAAATTGATCGTGTGTTTAACATCCTTTCATTAGGTAGTGACATGTTTCACACAGCTTGTTGCTTTAGATAGGCTTCATCATTTGCAGCAAGTTCAATTGTAACTGGGATTTGTTGATGACGCAAGTTCCATCAGTAACCTATGAATAATTCCCAGGAACCAAACAGTTTTTTTAACTGTTTAAACAATTTAATAGTTTAAACAAGAATAAGAAATGAAGGAACCTTAGAATACCTAATGCCAAATTAGTGTACTATGGTGTATCACACTCAGATATTAGTTAAGCTTACTTTCTTTTTATGATGAAAGAATTCATATATCATTACATTTCTGTTTAATTAACAAGATTATGAACTGCAAATGCCATCCATGCATTTTCTGCTTCACAGCAGTGAGACACATGAAAAAGCAAGAATTTCCTACACTACAGAGGCAATGCTTCTATTTGCATTCACATACCTTTAAAAAAACCCTGCAAAGCCGTTTCTAGAAATCGGCTTCGGAATCTAAGAAACATAGCTGAAATGCAGCCGTGTGTGAACTGATCATGAGGGAATGAAACTGTCACAACTTCACTCCATCAGGTTCTAAAAAAAACAAGTAGGAAATTCTGCAAACCCCTACATGACCAAAGGTAATAGGAATGCCAGTATAATATGAACTTTACAGTTCATTGCCACTTGCATACATACAATTCAGTCTTCAAAGGAATTAAAATAAGAATCTATCTAGCCAGGAAAAATTGGGAAAATGTTAGTATTAGCCTCCAATAGTACTTATAGCCCAAGATAATTTATACAGCTGTGAGGGGACAGCAAGTTCAGATAGGATGGAACTCTATTTACAATATTGTGCCACCCTCAGTCACCTAACAAACTGGGTAACATAACTGGTCAGGAGACAATTTAAAAAAAAAAACAGTAAGCTGAGGCTTTCACATCAGTCAGTATCCGTAAGTCAGGTGACACAGGGCAGATCTGTTGTGGAGTTTCACCAGAAGGAGTGGAGAAGTAGGCAACTGTAGAATCCAGACATTTTGAGAAATATTTTTGAAGAGGTCTGTGGGAGTCTCAGTGAGAGACTTAATTTTGTAAAGGAGAATCCTTAGAAGAATTCCTAGAATAAACAAGAGGTGTCAGGGGGAAAGTGTCTCAAAGACAAAACCTCATGGTAAAAAATGACCAACAGTTTATGCCTGATACGTACTGTGCTATATAATGAGGAAACTGAAGACAGCTATTTTGCAGTCAAGTTAGAAGAGTTTAGGTTTTTGTTTGGTTATTTTGACTCTTGTCTTACGGGGTAAATAAATAAAACTGGATTTGTACCTTACAGCTGCACGTGTGTGTATATGTGTGTGTGTGTGTGTTTGTCCTACTGTATCCCAACTGTTCAAAAGATCACTGATATGGCACATCATCCCAGGGCGTGTCAAAAAGTTACTTCAAAAACTACTTGAAGCCAAATTATTCCAGCACATGCTTCTTTAAAACAGCAAACCAAGATCATGATCTTATTCTGAGGCACTGCAAAGCCCCAATGGGTCAGAACATGCAAGTATAAGAAACAACTGGCAAGCTAAGCATATTTACACGGTCCTAAATATAGCTACTTCCTCTTGTTTGTGATTTAAAGCTTGTGTCCTCACAAATCATTCTTTCAGCTCTACATTTGATAAAGTCTAATGTAGTCCTTCAATCCCATTTCCCTTTGTGATACGCGAAACTAGAAATGATCCACATATTGGCATTGTATTTAGGAAAAAACTTAAATTTTACTCCACCTGCACTAGCATGTTCCACTTCACTGCTGTGAAATTAGCTTTTGTATTCTAAGTTTTCATGCATACGATACAGTACTTTGTTGCAGTGAACATCAAATTGTACACCAAAATTATTTGTGTTAAAGATATTCATTCATCAGGTGTGTTAACACATTGTAAAAATTTAAAGCAGGTATCTGTGAAACTCTAAAGTGTTAACAAATTTTGTTCAGTCCACAGGAAGAGAATGCCTGTACGTGTCAGTAAAAGAAGATGATGCAGAAAAATCTGAAAGAACTAAATAAGCCTCAAATTAGTTTCAATGATGTCCAATTATGACAAAAGCAGTAACTAACACTTTGGAGATGTTTGTCAACTCTGCCCACATTGATGTGGAGAAGCCAGCGCAGGTGGCCTCGTAATACAAGTTCAACATCAGAGAAAACAGCTGTGGTTTCCATAATTTTACTACAGGTATGGTCTTGCAGGTTTTACTATTGGCTCACCGATTTCACTGCAGTCGAATGCCAACCTAAAGATGAGATTAAGATCTGCTTATTATTGAATATTGTGCATACATTGTGATATTGTACATACATATTGTATGAATGTTTATTGCAGTATTACAGCTGCAGTCAAGGTTTGACGTACTTGTTAGTGTGCAAAGAGGACATTTTTCAACATGATGGGAGGGCACATGCAGTGACCTCAGATGAAGTAATGCATTCTAGATTCCTTCACAGCTCAACAGTGGTTCTTTTTAATCCCAGCAGTACCCTGAGCTCGTTTATTAAGTTAGCAAGGCATTCATATAGAAACCATGGGGCATTTAACAGCAGCTTCAGCTTTGAAAGGTTTAAAATTAAAGCAATATGTGTGACAACATTTAGGGTTACGTTTGCTGGTATAGTGTAATGGATAGCTCTTCAAGGATAAATGTATTAGAAACCTAAGGAACACATCTGCTGTTGAAAATGTTCATTTATTCGTTGTTCTTCATTATGATTACTTTGTCAGCTGTGCTTCATTTTGCAGAACACTTCAATCCCCATTGCCATTTTGAGAGGAAGCAATGCACAGTAATGGTAGATAAAAACAGGCAGCTAAAATTGCCCATAGGCCAACCAAACATTAATATACATCTTCCTTAAGTGTTATTAGAGAAAATCTGGAATTTGATCATTCTCAGATTTCATCTGTTAAAGCTTAAAAATAAGTATACAGTATAATCATGAATACACCTACGTCAATGAAATATCGTTTGAGTTTATTAGCAGCAGACTGAATTTCTTCAGAAATATTCTTTTTTGGCCCCCATTGGCCCTTACCAATCATGGCCTCCTAATAATCCCCCTCTATGAATTGGCTTCATTACTCTGCTCTCCTCCCCATTGATAGCTGGTGTGTGGTGAGAGTACTGGTGCACTATGGCTGCCGTCGCATCATCCAGGTGGATGCTACACACTGGTGGTGGTGGAGGAGGGGAGTCCCCATTACCTGTAAAGAGCTTTGAGTGGAGTGTCCAGAAAAGCATTATATAAGTGTAAGCAATTATTATTATTATTATTATTATTATTATTATTATTATTATTATTATTATTATTAAATTGACTGCCTGACGGCTTGGCATCGATGGTAAGAATAGGGGTGTTGACCCTGGTGTCATGGATACATTCTGCTCTGGGCTTGGACAGTCTCGTGTACCTAAAGGAACCCCTTTAAATCACCTGGTTAAGCAATGTCTCACTTCTCAACCTATTCTGCAATGTAGTTGGGGTATTGTTGCATAATAGCTGCCATATATCACACACCTAGGTGCTGCACTTAGGTGATGAATGGAGTGGGTGTCCTTGTACACATAGTGCACTTTGGCTCCTTTGGAAACAGCACCCCACAAGTACAAATAATTAATTAATTTAGTTATTACGACAGTACAGTGGGCTTCAATTGCAGCCATCCAATTAATTACCACTGGTCTTGACAGACACAATCTGTGGTCTCTTTTTATCACTGATAAAGGATGTCTGCAGATAACAGCTCTTTTTGACAATGTTTTTATTCCCATTCCAAGGCTAGAAAACAAATAAGAACAACGCAATGCTAAACAAATCTGTAGATTCTGTCTTCCACATATTCATGAAAAATTCTTGGCCCAACATGCACAGATCTTTTTGACCACAGCTACCATATGAATTGGTAATATTATTAAATAAAAGAGCGCAAATAAAAGAGGTATTTAGTTTCCCATTAGTAATGGTTCCAGAAAACTGTATACGCCAATAACAAATATAACAAATTAGAGCTGAGTTAGTTTTGCTTTGCTGCTGAAAACAATTTTACATTCACAAGTGTCTTTTCACAATATACAGTAACTCATAATATTATGTTTGTTTGTTTTTAAACTGCATATTTAACTCCATTATTTTTCAAACTAGAAAATGATATTCATACTGCTAATGATTACTTGAGCTATTCCATATTTTTTAGTTCCATTTCTTCACATTTAATTAAAGTGTCTGTTTCTTTGAGTTTGGATTGGGAAGGTGTGTAGGACGGTATGTTATTTCCACATCTGGAAAACTGCATTCTGTACTGGATAACACAATACGTCTTCTAATTTTTAAAGATGGAAGTCAATTTTAAGTTGACCTGCTCTGTGCTTAGTCTGGGAGTAGCTCTTCAAGGCTTTTTAGGTGCTCTTGAATTAAAATAAAGTTCCTGTGTTTCATCACTCAGACACCCCAGTGAATTACAGACTACAGTGATCATTCTATCTGGACAAAAAGCAATAGGATTTACAGGGATGAGAAACACTGGGCCCCCATTTCCTTGAGGGGCATGCACTAGCCATCTCTTCAGAAGTGAGAGGAAGTACTTGGAAATATTTTTTTTCCTAAAAACTTCTTAAAATGGTTTATTTATCACAATAAATTCTCACTGCATGAGGGAGGGAAGATAGCACCCAATTATTTTTTATTTATAACATTGGTATTTTAATTTTTAAAAGCTCATTATTTCACAGAATATATTTTTTCATGAAGAATTTGATATGCCATGACAAAGCACATGCATTATTCTTACATATAATAATACTATCTTGATCATTTCTTTATAGTAATATCTATGTTTTTTTATAATGGATCAATTAAATTCTACCACTTTCAGCTTTGAAACTTCTGCTATATATTGGAAAACAAACTGGAGGAATTATGAGAAGCTTCACTGATGAATGAATAAATGCATTCCTGGGGAAATTAATGTTTATGTTACAGACTGAGCTATTCTTAGACCAGTCAGGTCCTTTGGGAAATACCGTATTTATACTCATAAATGACCATCAGGAAATTGCATTAATTTTGAAAAGCTCAGGATATTATGAATATTCAAACAGTGCAATTAGACAATTGGACGTTTTCACTCTTGTGTTTTGGAAATGAGCATTTGCATTTTGTGCATGCCCTGTTTCTTTGAGTTGGCATAGGAGTATGTGTAATTGAAGTGTGTTGTTATTAAATAATGGGTGTGTCTGGAAGAAGGTGCTTCGCTTTTTTTACCTGCCCCATCTCACTGATCCACAGTCTTGACAGTTCTGTAGCAATGGAATAATGGACTCAGCAGGTAATCATGTAAGGAGGCACTTTTTTTCACTTTTTACATACTGTATGTGAAAGAACAAGCTTATGTGTAAATAAGTAAACCATAAAACAGCTGCCATCAGAATGATTTTAGAAAATACTGATTATGTATTATGTTTTCTTGCATGATAAAGTAATATTTGAATTATGCTCAACACACTTACTGTACAACACAGGTTTTAATAATGCAGCGGTTCTATTGACAATAATATATTCACATTTAATAGACATAAAATCAACATTCCATGTGGCATGAAAAGGGAAATTCTAAAATATATTTACCCTCTATCTCATATCAATGAACCTCTTAGATTTTGTAAATGCATACACATTGAAGATTAATGAATATTAAATATTTAAGTGTAACTGTTATATGCATTCAGGAAACTACAGTAACTGCTGGACCACAAATTAAAGGTAAAAGGTTGTCTCTAATGCACGGTTATTTAAAAATGATAATACAGCCAAGATGGTATGGTGCTGTGGGTGTTAGAACTGTGCCCTCTCATCACTCAGTTTGCAATCCCCACTGGGATGAATGTGTGCAGGAGATAAAGTGTGCCTGTGTCCTGCGATTTACAGGTGTGGAGCGACAGTGCCCAGTGTCTGCTGGGTTAGGCTGTAGCTTAGTGTGACCCTCTAAGGGCCAAGCGATTAGAGAAAAAAAGACAGAAAAATGTGGCTGCTGCAATTTTATTTTGTGTTATTCAGACGTTAAATCATTTAAACATCCAAAGAATTAAAAATGCCATCTAAAACCATTAGACGTCCAAATTAAAAAAACGGATACATCCAACAACCATGACAGTATTCGCAATTAAAAATTGTATTCCATTTTTTCTGATGTTTTGACTTTTGCAAGATTAAAAAGTTGGTTTTCCCCATCTAAATTATTTGTTTGCTTTTTTCTCCCAGCTGTGAAAGCACAGTTTATGTGATCAGTATTTTTTTTTGCTGTGTAAACATTCTGTAGAGTTTATACTCAGTGGGAAGACTGTGTTGATATTCTCTGGGAAGAACCACAGATGACTGGAACCAGACACGCAGCCTACACTGTGGCCAGTTTACAGGGTTGTGGTGTTGAGTTCATTTTCTGCATCGCTCATCAAAATGACACTCAGGCATTGATCTCGATTGCTTAGATATTACATAAAGAGTCTTGCAAGTGGCAAGAAAGTGATAGAAAATTATTTTTAAGTTGATCTGATGTTCTCCCACTGTCTTAGGTTAACTGGAGTCTCTAAATTGTGCCTGTGTATGTCAGTGCTAAAGTCCACTCCCTAATACTCCAAGTGGAACCTGAGCAGATGAAAAATATCAGGTTGACATTAACAGAATGAAGTACAGAAGGATCGTGTATCCTCAGTAAATGGGGTTCTGACGAGGCAGTCATGAATGGGAGAAGAGTTGGAAGGAGATGCACCATCTAGAATATGTAAATGGTTGACTGGTGGAGGAATTCTGCAGAAGAGTGACTCCTGCAATTGTCCTGGTCACCATTCCATTGGCTTAATATCATATTCTGTCAAAATCTGTGTGAAAGCTGGTGAGTAATTTCTTCACAATAAAAGATGTCACCCACAGGTATCTGTCATCCATATGCTCATTCATCAAGTCCTTTGGTGACCAGCTAATGTTCACAAAAGCAGGATGATGCTGTTTGGAAGCCCCTAGTCACTATCTGGCAAAGAGGTGGCTGCTACAAGAGTAATACATACATAATTAACATAC